GGCTCCTTTCCTAGCTTTGGAATTTCTTAGTCTGTGGCAGAATAACACCAGTATCCATGTGGCATTTTCCTGTATGCTTGTCTGTCTCCAAATTGCCTGTTAGATTTTTTTGCTATAAGGTACATGCACTTGCTAAAGAGAGAGGAAAGTGAGAAATAACCCCGTAGGGGTGGTGGCCACACCACAATCCCTTCTCCAGTCTCCTCTTAGGACTTTGGACATGCACATACACACCTGGTGTGATTTTCAAGCAACCAGGTCCAGAACTTAAACCACAGTCAGTCATGTGGGATCCAGTGCCTTAACCACAATGCCACCTGGTCCCAAATCATCTCTTTTTATAAATACACAGGTGTGCTTGACAGAAATGTTTCATTCTGTTGACACAGGTGACTGCTCACAGCTAGGGCTGAGCATAGCCTCCCACTCCTCTCAGGTCCCCCCCGCCGTGTAAGCTCTGTTCACCTGAGAGACCTATGGCGGCCGTTACTAGTCCCCCCTCTTTGTTTGTTTTACTGCTTCCCAAGTGCCACTACCCAGAAAGCCTGGTTCTCCCTGCATCCTCTTGAACCCTAAGACTTGGAGCACAAGCCAGGCGCTTCTGCCTTAAAGCTCTCCTCCTCCACCCCTCCTCAGCCCAACCTGTCTCAGTGTGCACCATGATCTATGCCCATTCAGCACATTTTTTTTATACTCTAGAAAGATGTGAGCTGCTTGAAAGCAGGATCTAATTTTTTTTTTTTTAACCCAGTAGTCACACGCATAAATGGTTACAGGATCTGGTAACTTCCTTCTTGCAATACTAAAAAAATAATTTTCTGTATAATTTCTTGAATGTATTTCATATATTAAGTAATTGGCTGCTTCCATTGTTTCTGCTGAGTTTTAGATTACAAATTTTAAAAATATACAGAAACATAGGAGACCTTTTTTGTGTCATGATGACAATAAACAAAGTAAGAGCAGACACTGTTTTCTTCTCAAGGAAACAAAATATGGAATTTGTGGAATGAAATGTCATAGAAATGTTAATCTGTTGGTCTCTGTCATCTAGGATGACCATCGTCATCTAAACCAATTCATAGCTCATGCTGCTCTCGACCTTGTAGACGAGAACATGTGGCTGTCGAACAACATGTACTTGAAAACTGTGGACAAGTTCAATGAGTGGTTTGTGTCTGCATTTGTCACTGCAGGACATATCCTTACCTTTTTAATAAAGATACCTAACTAGGGGCCAACTGCTGGCACAGCGATACTGCAGTGCTGTGTGATGCTAGAGCCACATGGGAAGGTCCTAGGTTAGTATTGTGGAGCCTTCCTGTCCTCACCTGTGCCTGTGCCTCTGTTCTAAGCTGGCTAGTGGGAGCTCATGGCATGAAGCGCCTGTTCTGTGTGTCTTTCTCTGTCTGCCACTCTCTCATGGAAGGAGGAAATAAACAAACTTTAAGAAAAAGATACCTAACTAAAGGTTAGGTTAACTATTCATAGAAGAACATGGAACACAGGCTCATGCCAGACTCTAAGCTTAGACTTCAAACAATCAGGTTAAAATTTTCTATTTATGGGGCCACTGTTATTTTTATATGAAAAAAAAACATTTCATTTAATAGGTTCTAGAACTAAGTCTCACATAAAAACTAAGGCTTAGCTGAACCATATTACAGGTGGTTTTCCTTATTTTACATTTATTTTCTAACTTTAAAAGATTACATTCTCCTTAAGATTCTTTCAACCCAGTTTATGTATTCAACTTTTCCATTGCAAAACATACTGCATATGACTAATTTGAAAAAAAAATTATATCAACTAATTGCTTCTAGTTTTTCATTTCTAAGAAGGATTATACCTTAATTATTTCACATATGAGATTTATTATGCTTCATGATGTAAGGCAAGAAGATGGAATAAAGAACTTCTTTACTGATGTCTACGACTTATATATAAAGGTATGAGATATTCTTAATTTTAAAAATCTTATAAGAAAGGATTCTAACCTGGACTATTGAAGAAACTCCCTATACTCCATAGTCATTTCAGATTAGCTTTTTTTTTTTTTTAATTTTATTTCTCCATTTATTTATTTATTTTAATTTGACCACAGAATGATAGAGTGAGAGAGAGGAGAGAGAGAGAGAGAGAGAGAAAGCAAGTCACCAGGTCTGGGACTCGAACCATGGTTGGCTATGTGGGAGTTCAGCACCCTTAACCACCATCCCATGTGCTGGCCCCCAGATTAGCTTTTCCCCAGTCAGAACTGTCTCTGGCAACTCCCTGGATAGGCAGGTCTTTACTGCCAATTTAGCATGTATTTAAGAAAACAGCTCACAGTCATTATTTTTAAATGACTGTGAAGATAAATCAGTTACATTCTTCCCCTTTTGATGCATATATTATTGATGTAATTAGGGACCCTAACAGGAGCAAGGAAGAAGCCTACATAAGGGAATATTGCTTCCTAATTTAAAATGTTTTCCAACTACTTTACAGATAAGTTGACAGTACAGTGAATAAAGATGATAAACTGGCAGACAGTGATTCTTATATTATCAAACAGCCACTCATGGAGAATGGTGCCACTTGTATTTCTTCATATTGAATTGAGAAATAAAATAGTAATAAGACATTTTGGTTAAACTGCAGTGTTAACAATAGAACATTCTTAATAATTTGAATATGTTCCATATTTGGACAGGATTTCTTGCATATCAGCACAGTTATAATATTTAATAACTAATATTCCTAGTCAGAGTTAGCAAATAAGAATATTTAGTACTCGGGGACCAGTAGATGGCATAGTGATTATGTCGCTGGACTCCCACATTGTCGACCACAGAGTCCTGGACCCAGCAGCTTAAAACTCATGCCGGATGTGTGTGTGCATGCGTGCATGCCCAAAAGCCCAACAAGAGAAGGGAGGAGAAGGGATTGTGGTATGGCCCTCCCCTGGCAGGTGATTTATAGCTTTCTGTCTCTCTGTCCTGGCAAGCGCACATGCCCTATAGCAAAAATCTCTCTCTCAAAACAAACAAACAAAAAAGAATATTTAGCCCTCTTATAAAGATGGACAATATCAAGTGGTTAAGGTTTAAAAAAATCAGTAACTCCTTTTCTCATTAGTGATTCCATTTAATATGAACAATTTTCTCTCATATATGTTACGATACACTTACTATTTTAGCTAAGAAACTGTCATTTACAGGAGCCAGCAGATGGCATGGTGGTTGAGGGTGTTGGACTCCCACATGGCCAACCATGGTTCAAGTCCCAAACCTAGTGGCTTGCTTTTTCACTTTCACTTTCTCTCTCGCTCTCTCTGGTCAAATTAAAATAAATAAATAATAAAATAATTCTTTAAAAAAATCTTTTTTTTAAAAAAAGACACTATCATTTAGAGTTGTGCTAAAGGAGAGTATTAAAAACCTGTTTGTTAAAAACCTAACCACATAAGAAGTAACTCTTTTTGTTAAAAGATTTATTAAGTTTATTTATTCATTTTTAATTTGACCAGAGAGAGAGACACAGAGAGAGAGAGAAAGTGAGGAAGCAAGCTACCAGGTCCGGGACTTTAACCATGGTTGGCCATGTGGGAGTGTCTAGCGCCTTAGCCAACATGCCACCTGCTGGTCCCCAAGAGTAACTTTTAATAGCAATATGGTATAACTTTTTCTTAACTCAGCATACAGCAGATTTTGTATTTGTTTTAGTCGCCAAGGGCTTTACAGATTTATACACATGAGCAGACTTCAAAAAGTTCATCAAAAGTGAATTAAATTATAAGTTTAGTGTAAAAGAAATTTTGAAATCCATGCATAGTTTTTTCATAGTACACATTTTCCATTGAATTTTGTTTGTTTTTTGAGAGGTTTTGTAATAGGGCACATGCGCTCGCCAGAGAGACAGACAGAGAGACAGAAAATGAGAAATCACACCCCCCCCCGGGGGGGATGGCCACACTGCAGTCCCTTCTCCTCCACTCTCCTTTTGGGATCTTGGGCACACACACACGCGCCCAGTGTGAGTTTAAGCCACCGGGTCCAGGACTTCAACCACAGTTGACTACATGGGAGTCCAGCAACATAGCCATTACGCTAGCTGCTGGTCCCTCCATTGGATTTTTTGAAGACCTCTTGTATATTTATAGTGAATATGAGTAGATTATTATCATGCAAAGGTGAATCCTAAAAGTTAACTTAAACAGGCAAAACTTATTACCATTACTTTTGCTGCTGGTGCTTCTGTAAACAAAAACGCTGAAACAAAACTTTCCTTAAGGGAATGTTAGTTTTTAACAATGGAGTGTTTCTTTTTCTTTTTTAGAGAGAAACTTTCGCTATAGGGCACATGCATCTGCCAGAGAGACAGAGAGAGACAGCGAGTGAGAAATCACCCTCCAGGGAGGATGGTCACACCACAATCCCTTCTTCTCCATTCTCCTCTCGGGGATTTTGGGCACATACACACATGTACCCGGAGTGAGTTTTAAGCTACTGGATCTGGGACTTGAACCTCAGTCAACTACGTGGACATCCAGCGATGTAACTGTTATGCCATCTGCTGGTCCCAACAATGGAGTATTTTCAGTTGAACTTAAAAATGTGTATTGAGGCTTTTATTTTGATGTCTTTAATGATTTCTTTCATTTGAAACTTAAAATTTCCTTTTAGAGACCTGTGAGTTGTCAGCCTATTTGCTTTAACAAGCTCTCTAATATCTTCTTCTTTCCTAGTTTGCAATGAATCCATTTTATGAACCGAATTCTCCTATTCGATCAAGCGCATTTGACAGAAAAGTTCAGTTTCTTGGGAAGAAACACCTTTTAAGCTGAATTCAGATAAATTCCAAAATAATTCAATGTCACCACAATGGAGTATACTCAGGAATGTGTACATTGTTTGTAACTTGATTAAATAGCCTGGAAAACCTGTACTTGTAGTCTTAATTCCTTTTATATTTAAAAATAGTACATTTTGTTTCATGTTGATTTTCATCCAGTCAATATTTGCTTGTGAGCAGTGTTTATTTATAAAGAGCTTGTTATTAGTAATCTTCCAATATTTTTATTTTAAAAACAATATTTTGACTTTGTGGGACCAGCAGTTAGCGTAATGGCTATGTCGCTGGACTCCTATATAGTCGACCGCGGTTCAAGTCCCGGACCTGGTGGCTTAAAACTCACGCCAGGTGCATGTGCGTGTGTGCCCAAAATCCCGAGAGGAGAATGGAGGAGAAGAGATTGTGGCGTGGCCATCCCCCCGGGGGAGTGATTTCTCGCTTTCTGTCTCTCTGTCTCTGTCTCTCTGGCAAGCGCACGTGCCGTATAGCAAAAACCTCTCCCCAAAAAAAGAAAAACAAAATTGACTTTGCAAATTCAGATAGCTTGATTTTGACATAATAACACAAAAACAAATGTCATAGTCAAGACTGGGTAGACATTTAAAACTGGAAGGAATGAGATGGTAGCACGTACACTGACTTAAGACATTTGGAGATGTTATGAAAATGTATAAGCAGTACACTCAGCCAACCCAAGAAGCTGAAGAAGAGAGCTTTCGCAGTGCTATATGTCACCTGTCTGCCTCTGTCACAGAGGCTCAGAATAGTGATCCGGCTCTAATTCTAGAATCCTGGATCTATATTTATAGGATGGAGGCTGGGACCAAAGCTCCAGGCCACAGTGAAATGTGTTGCTTCTGTCACCTTGTTCTCTTTCCTTTCCCTCAGACGATGGATTTAGGATTAGTGAACCTGTGATACCTGTACTTGTAAAAAGTTGTAAGGCAATTTTAGAATTGTTATCAAAGAAAAGCTGAGATTACATTAACATTTGCACCCTCAGCTTTTTAGGCTACTACACACCAAAGTGGGCCCAGAACGAAGTCTTGTATTCACTAATAAGTGTGTGATCTTATTGTAAAACAGCAAAGATCTATTGAAAAGCAATATAACCTGATATTTTCTGTGCTGATTGTGAGCACTTAAAGAATTTTGTTCCATTATGAATACTTACTGAGCAAGTAATTCTAACCTTGGTCTTGTATTCTTGTGTGAAGTTGCTGCCATTGTTTACTATTATTTATTTGAATTCTTAAATAAAGGTGTTTGTCCAAGATTGTGGTAGTATAATACTCAATTTTAAAGTACTGCCCATCACTCTCACTGTTTTAGTCCTGTTTTCCCTAGCGAAATTCTATGAATAGAATACCTTAACTCATTATATAGAGCTTTGATTGCCTCAAACTAGGTACCAGGGATTTGGGAGCAAAAGGTGATAATCATCTAGAAATCTAGGAGTGATTAAAGTCATCCTAATAAGAGACCCACACACCTGATTATTGTGTGTTTGCTTTGTTTCATTGAGGGCATAATCCAGAAGCTGTAATGCAAGCCAGCCGTGGGGAGCAGCAGTGTGCGTAGCAGCAGGCAGTGCAGGGGTAGGAAGAGTTGGTTTTGGCTCTGGCTCTGGCTCAGCTGTATTGTACAACGGTAGTACCCTGCAAGCAGCCATCCTTTTCTCCAGGCTTAGGTCATTGGGAAAGTCATGATGTATTTTTAAGAATTATTTTATTGAACTTTATTTCTTTCAGTTTGACCAGAGGACAGAGAGAGAAAGTGAGAAAGCAAGCCTCCAGGTCTGGGACACAAACCATGGTTGGCTCCATGGGAGTTCAGCATGCTTAACCACCACACCACCTGCTGGCCCCATGATGTATTTTTCTATGCAAAGTGTCCTGATTTTCCCAGTGACCCAACAGTAACACCCTGTGCTAATATTACTAAAATGAGGTGCCAAATTTCATGTGTGACCTTGTCTTGGAACTGAGTCCAGCCACAAGTAGGACTAGAAGTACACTACACAGGAAAGCATTCCAGGTGTGAAGGTACATGGGGGTAGGACCCATAGGTGATAGGATAGGATAGGACAGACAGAACCAGCACATGTCAAAGGGGAAGATTAGGGCTGATCCTCAGGAAAGCTAATCTGGCAAAAGTTGGATCTGGCAGGTCATGTTCCTGAAGGTTTCAGAACACGAAAGCAATGGGGGTGAAATCAGTCTTAAGAAAATCAGGGTCCTGTCCACTGAGCACATGTATGTCAGCACTAAATTTATAATCCAGTGTTCTAGAAGAGACCCATGTAAAGTGCACAAATCTGGTTTTTTCCTCTCCATAGCCAGGTATTTCCTAGGGTGCTTCCTCTGGCATCCATGTGGTGCCCCATATACTATGTTCTGTAACTGCAGTCACTTCAGCACATCCTGGTTGACATCTCCCAGTATCCCAGACACCACTGGCTGCATACACTACCTCTCATGGTGTACCCACACGGGGCCACTTTTCAACCTAACACTAAACTCTGCTCTACAAGACACTGACATTGTGAGAACTTGCATAATGGTGTCGTAACACAAACGTGAAATTTCAAGTGTATAGAAATGTAACAAGCAAGGTTTTCTTTCATGACAAAGGACATTTGGGTATTTTGACTCCTACTAGGGAATTTTTCACAAGGGTGAAGACAAAAATAGATGGGATTGTAATTTCCTATCTTCCACACAGCACAGTGCAACTGCAGCATCAGTTGTCAAGTGCACATTTGTTCTCCAAGTTCAGTAGTTTGCCTTTTTCTTACGTCTGAACTCTCTCAAAAAGCTTTACTGTCATGGGCAGCTTGGAGCTAGCTGGAAATGTGACTGTTACGCACACCGTGTGGTGACTGCTGCTATACCATCAGGGCCCTGCCTCCTCCCCGGACTGTGAAGCATGACCCGCTTTCTTCCTGGGAGGCTCCTGCTGCCAGTGACCAGCTTTGTTCCCCATCTAATCTGCTTTGGTCCACACTGCCCATCTCCACATAGTTAACACCAAAGCACCTTTTCACTTCAAACAAAAGAATCATCAGATTTCCAGCTACCTTTTGGTGCTGATTGAAAAGCTTTTTCATCAAAGTCAGCTGCAGTTTCTTTGAAGGCCAAAGCTACCCAGTACTGTTTTGTTCCTCCTCCTGTTTCTCACCTCTCAGTACCATGAAGTTAGCCAGCGTTCACAGTAACCCTTTAAGACACAGTGGGAAGCATGATCACTCCCTTCAGCCTTTCTTTACAAGCACAAAGATTTGTTTCATTGCTTTTTTAAAAAATATTTTTCCCATAGATGAGCTGAGTTCACCAGATAGTGAGAAATCACCCCTTGGGGGTATGGCCACAACACAATCCTTTTTCCTCCATGCTCCTCTCCGGATTTTGGGCACACCCTCTAGTACCTGGCATGATACTCAAGCCGCCAGGTCCAGAACTCAAACTGTGGAGTAAGCCACATGGGATCCAATCACCTTAATCTCCACACCACCTGCTAGTCCCCCTTGATCATTTTTTGCTGCCCATTTTTTGTCTAGATGTTTTTAAAGCCAACTAATCTAATCCTGAATATTTAACTGGAGTTTATTAAAAAGATACTTTTCAGTACTTAAGTCTGTACAAATACCAAGAATACAAATTATGCAGATAACCACACACATAAGTACATTATGGACTGAGCTGTGTCCCCCTAAAATTCCTATGTTGAATTCAGTCCTAACCGTCAGTACCTCAGTATGTGCCTGTATGGAGATAGGGTCTTTATAACAGGTGATTAAGCTAAATGGAGCCCTCCGGGTGGGCTCTACTCCACCCTGACCGGGTCCTTATAAGGAGAGTTGGACACCACACCATCCTTATAAGGAGAGTTGGACACCACACCAGGAGTGTGTGTGCACAGAGGAAAGACCTTGTGAGGACACAGTGAGAAGGTGGCCATGTGCAAGCTAAGGAGAGGCCTCAGGAACAATCAAACCTGCTGACGTCCTGATCTTGGACTTGCGGCGTCCAGAACTGGGAAAATGTTCATTTCTGTCATTTAAGCTGCTCGATGTATATTTTGTTATGGTGGCCTTTGCCAAATATCTAGGTGGATACCCAAGAAATTGATACATGAATGCCTCCAGGAATAAGAACGAGGTGGCAAGGGTCAAGCTGTGTGTCTTGTGCCTTGGGATTTTGAACCATGTCACTATATTATCTACTCAAAAAGTTAACAATTGACATCTAGTATCCATTGTTGATCAAGGTGCAGAAAGCTGGCACTTTCCCGTACTACTGCTAGAGCTTTATCAACAGAGACTGGCTTAAATAAACCACTAGACAGCCACACAGCTAACAAAAGAATTTTATTACTATGTATAGTGAAAATGTGTCCAGATACAGAAAAAGGCAAGTAACAAAAGTGAGTACACTCTTTTTTTTAATCGCCAGAGGGTGCATGTGCTTGCCATATACAGGAGAGAAAGCACTCTCCCCTCAATGGGACATGACCATGCTACAGTGCCTCTCCTCCATTTCTCCATCTGGTTGGGATTTTTAGTACACATGTACATGCTTGGCATGCTTTTCAAGTAGCTGAGGCCGTGATTCAAACTGCTCAGCCATGTGAGATCAGTTCCCTAAACTGCCAGGCCATGGGCCAGCCTAGTGAGTTGATTTAATAAGATAAAGTCCTGGGCCAGCAGGTGGAGTGGTGGTTAAGGTGATGGATCCTGCATGGTTGACTCTGCAATTCAAGTCCCAGACCCAGCAGCTTGAAAAACACACCAGGCACCTGTGCATGCGTGCCCTAAATCTCCAGAGAATAGAGAAGAGATTCAGCATGGCCATCCCCCTGCAGGGTTTTTTTTTTTTTCACTTCCTCCTCCCTCCACTGCAGAGCACCTAAGTCCTATGGTAAAAATTAAAAACAAATAAACAAACAAAAAACCCTAACAGTCCTTAGAGTAAGTTCACTAAAAAAATAAAGAATATACACCTATGTGTTAATGGTGTTTTTGCATAAAGGATTACGGGTTTGGGGAATAGAGGTAGGGACTGATTATAAATAATAAAAACTACAGCTCTGAGAATATAAATTGGCCCAAATAGAAAATGTTCATGTATGACTAAATTGTCCATTATGTTAGGAAATCAGACATCTGAGGCTGGCCCATGGTCTGGTAGTTAAGGGGACCAGATTCTGCATGGCCATGTTGTTTGAGTCCCAAACTCATTGGCTTGAAAAACGCACCAGTGGCATGCATGTGCATGACCGAAATCCCAACAGGAAAGAGAGAGAAAAAGGATTACGACATCACCATACCCCATTAAGGGGAACTTTCTGTCTCTCTGGCACACACACATCCTCTGGCAATTAACAAAAACAAAAAAGAAGGAAATCAGACTTTCAAAAGCTTATCTTACTGCTTACTGAACTGATAAGTTATTTTTCCAGTGGCTCCCAATAGTAGGGCTAGGGAGAAAAATATATTCATCTTAGGACAAGCAGATGGCATGCTATTTATGTTGCTGGACTTCCATGTAGATGACCCTGGTTTGAGTCCCGTACTCAGTGCCTTAAAGTTCATGCCAGGCGCATGTGCATACGTGCCCAGAATCCCGAGAGAATGGAGGAGGAGGGATTGTGGTGTAGACATTCCCTCTGAGGTGACTTCTCATATTCTGTTTGTCTCTCTGGAGAGTACACACACCCTATAGCAAAAATCTCTTAAAATGTGTGTGTGTGTGTGTGTGTATATATATATATAAATCTAGCTTTTTCAAAATATACCCCGGTGGGGCTGGACAGGGGCGCTCTGTGAGGCAGACCCACAGGAAGAGGTTTCATGTTTGTGAACACACCAGGCACACATGTGCCCATGACCTGGGGCGGACTGAAGCTGGGTACATTGTGGCATGAGGACTCTGTTGGAAGAGCCCGTCTCCCTCTCAGAAGAAATGAGTTAACTTAGAAAAATCTACTCTCGGAGCCAGACAGAGGTGCAGTTTTCTGCAGTGCTGGATCCACCTGGGAAGGCTGCAGGTTTGGATCCCAGGTTTTCCTGGTGCACAGTGGGTGTGCATGTATGTTTCCATGATCCAGTTCAGCTGGGACTAGATCACAGCATTAAGACCCTTTTGAGGGTTGGCCCTTCCCTCCCTCTCTCTGAAGAACTGAAAAAAAAAAAAAAAAAGAATCTGGAGGCCAATGGCACAGCAATAACACCAGACTCTATGGAACTTATCGCACTTGGGAAAGTTCCAGATTCACATCTGGAGAGCTCCATGAACATTCTGGGCATGCATATACCCATGATCTGGGGCTGACTTAAGCTTAGACCATGGAATAAAAGTCCTGCTGGGGATGCCTGTGTCTCAATCTCTCTCTCTTGCTTATGAAAGAAAACATGAAATAAATTTCACAAAAATTTCCCTCCATGACAACCAGCTCACCTCACCCTGCATGTTCCTTAAAAAAGGCACCAGTCCACAGCTGAGGATGCCATCCATGCTAACTGCAGTCTGGACTTGGGTTGCCTCTGTAGGATCAGAGAGTCGTCAATTGCATAGCAAGTGAACTTGAGCCACAAAAGACCTCAATCCACCTTATCAAGTCGTCATTATAACAAGTCTGCAAGTTTGTTTAGGATAACAAAATCTCCTTGAGAGCAAATCACTGAACGACATTCATTGATAAAGAAGATTCTAAATATATGACCAAATAAAGATGTTTTCATTTACCTCTTACAAAGTACAATTTTAACGGTTTGTTCTGTTCTTTTTTTTTTTTTTTTCCTGCCACAGGGCACATGCACTCTCTGGAGAGAGAGAGAGAGACAGTGAGAGGGAAAGTAGGAAATCGCCTTTGGGGGGGGGGAGATGGCCATGCTGCAATCCCTTCTCTTGTATTCTCCTGGGATTTTGTGCCCAGCCTGACTTTCAAGCCACAGGGTCCAGGACTCAAACTATGGTCACCCACATGGGAAGTCAGTGCCTTGCCACATGCTGGCCCAGTACAATCTTTCTTAGCATTTCCTCCAAAAGTAATAAAGTTAGCTTCTGAGGACAGGTGGGGAGGGAGGGGGTTGCATGTGTGGCACACAAGTGATTACTAGTGAGATCAATTCTAATGATACAGAGAATGAAAACATGAACAGTTAGGTCATTTTTAAGAGAATGAAGTAATCAAATGAAGTAACAATGCATTGCAAATGCATTAGATTTTAATCTTTAATATCTAACATTATTGCTTTAGGAAACTTTTCCCCAGAACCAAGAATAGAATGGTAATTACATAAAAATATACACATACAAAAAGTAGTTCTCCATTTCCCCAGGGAAAAACAATCCAAGTGTAACTTCTAGAATGGTTAAGTTTTTTCTTTTAATTATAATTAAAGTCATGGTCATCTCACTTATTAGGTAACTTACATATTTAAATTAAAGACTGTTATTAGACAACCATTACAATTTATAAATGCAGGGTACCATTACTGAGTAAATAGATTCCTCTGTGAGTCAATGTGTCCCTTCTCCCACCAACTAAAGCAGCAGCCATAAAGTTAGTTTATTAGTACATGATACACTGCTGAAAATGCTAATTCTCTTCTCCACCTTTGTGTTTATCTTGTGTATATGTGTGAGTTTGGTTAGAAGACACCAACAATCCCTTTAATGATCAACAGCAAGATGAGCTAGGCTTGGGCTTTCGATGAAGATTGACCGTGTCTGTCTGAATCAAGTGATCAGACCTATCCTCGGTAGCAAGAACTCTTCGAACTGCTTCCTCAAAGGCTGCTGCCACATTCGTGGCATCTTTTGCACTTGTTTCAAAGTAAGGGTAGTCGCCGTTGTCTCTGCACCAGGCTTCAGCTTCTTCTGTAGACACCTGCCGTTCACTTATGTCAATCTTGTTCCCCAAAATCACAAAAGGGAAGTTTTCGGGCTCCTTCACATCTGCATAATATATGAATTCTTTCTTCCAGTTACTCAAGTTCTGGAAGCTTTGCGAATCATCGACACTAAAAGTAAGCAGGCAACAGTCAGAACCTCTGTAAAACGGTGTCCTCAGGCTGCGGAATCGCTCTTGACCGGCTGTGTCCCAAATCTGCATGGTGACAAGATGTCCATCCACCTCTAAATCTTTATTTAAAAATTCCACACCTATTGTATGGAAGAGCTGGGTATCAAACTTATTAGTTACATATCTGTTCATAAGAGAACTCTTCCCTACTCCACCATCTCCAAGGAGAATTACTTTAAAAAGTGAGGATTTCCCGGCCATTATTAATCTCAAGAGCTTTGATGTCAGAACCCTGAAAAATAAAAAGGTACCATTACATTCCTGTACATCTGCTACATGATTCTATGAGTAACTGTGTTAAGTAGAATCAAACATGTAGCGCCTAGCGATTCCTTTTTGCAAAGGAAATACCCACTAACAAGAACTGTCACTAGTGAGCACTTCACAGTGCGGCAGCCACTTCCTCGGGTCACAGCTAACTGTGAAGCTGGTGCTCAAGTCCAGATCTGACTCCAAAGACCTTGCTCTGAACTGTTATCACTCTAGGATAAGCCCCCCTCTGTTCACTATGCTTTCCTCATGCCAGGAATTTCCTCTACTGCCCCTCACTCCCAATACCCCCCACCTTCCTTTCTTCAGATCTAGGGGCTGTGAACCAGGAAATCCCAGAGACAGAAACTGATCTGGTTATGAAATAAAGTAAACCACCTCTGAGTAAATGGACTTTACTCTCTTCATTAGGAATTCTATTTTGAGCTTCCTTACATTAATAGCCACAGCAATGGAATTTTTCATATAACATAACCTAACACTTTCTACCCATAGGCCTCATTAGGGCAGCTCTAACATTTAGCAGATAGGAGCCTATAGTGTTACTTGTGTGTTTTCAGGTAGAATGAAATAAACCTGAAACAAAAAAGTGATATCGGGAACCAGCAGTTAGCGTAATGGCTATGTCGCTGGACTCCCACGTAGTCGACCGCGGTTCGCGTCTCGGACCCGGTGGCTTAAATCTCACGCCGGGCGCGTGTGTGTGCGTGCCCAAGATCCCGAGAGGAGAATGGAGGAGAAGGGATTGCGGCGTGACCATCCCCCCTGGGGGGTG